CGGAAAAGGAAAAAGAAAGGGGAATCCTACTAGGAATTGGGATTCCTAGTAGGACTCCCCACACTTGGCGCGCCCCTAGGGGGCCGGCTTCCTTCTCCTCCTTCCTTTATATACGGGGGCAGGGGGCACCCCATAGCACAACAGACAATCTCTTAGCCGTGTGCGGTGCCCCTCCATAGTTCAACACCTCGGTCATATCATCGTAGTGCTTAGGTTAAGCCCTGTGCCAGTAACATCATCATCACCATCGCCACGCCGTCATGCTGACGGAACTCTCCCTCGTCCTCAACTGGATCAAGAGCTCGAGGGACGTCATTGTGCTGAATGTGTGCTGAACACGAAGGTGTCGTACGTTCGGTACTTGGATCGGTTGGATCGTGAAGACGTTCGACTACATGAACCGCGTTACTAAACGCTTCCGCTTTCGGTCTACGAGGGTACGTGGAAACACTCTCCCCATCTCGTTGTTATGCATCTCCTAGATAGATCTTGCGTGTTCGTAGGAAAAAATTTGAAATACTGTGTTCCCCAACAGAATACTCACGGTTTATTTGCTACCTATTTTCCCCTATACCCGGTTGCTGCGATCAGATGGTGGATCCCAGGAGCCAGATGCCACCCCGTCGTCTACTACTACTTGGAAATCACCGACAACCAGGAGTAGTTAGGAGGTCCCAGGCAGGAGGCCTTGCCTCTTCGATCGTTGTTGATTTTGTGCTTGCCTTCTTAAGGCATTCTTGTTTACTTATGTTTGTACTCAAATATTGTTGCTTCCGCTGACTCTTGTGTATCGAGCTATGTATTTGAGCCCTCGAGGCCCCTGGCTTGTCATATAAAGCTTGTATTATTTTAATTTGTGTCTAGAGTTGTGTTGTGATATCTTCCCGTGAGTCCCTGATCTTGATCGTACACATTTGCGTGTATGATTAGTGTGCGATTGAATCGGGGGCATCACATTCATCATTCATGGTGCTTTCTTAAGCTCAAATGAACTTTTGGGTACTATCATCTGTGGACAAAGAGCGGGAAGCAGTGGACACTAGGGGGAGGGGGTTGTACTGCTAGCAACTTGTGATGGTCTTTAGTCTGCACAATCAAATTATATAAAATAATCATAAGGGATTATCTAGTCAGTTCGTCTATTGATGTTCATATATTTCATATCAACTATTATTTGCTTTCATGTTAGAATAACTAAGGGGGTGCTTACGAGTTTGCAATACAAGATCTTTCCATTTGCTCTCCGAAAGATCTGCTTCATATTGTTATTTTTGTTTGGCACCGAGGGTGTATGTACTTTGTTCATTCCATTCTATCTGTTGATTGGTTAGTAGGTTTACTTTATAGATGCATGTTCTCCTTTAAGTAGGGCATTAAACAAGAAAATCGGCTAAATCTTTGTTGATAAACATGGAGTAGTCCAAAAAGAAGATCTCATATTATCTGTTTTCAGTTCACTCGGTTGGAAAGACCTTAGTCATATGGAGTAGCTTCAACTTCAAGAATTCTAAATGTCATCTTCATCTAACCCACCAGGTTTACAGTACAACATGGGTACCTAAGTCATATAGTTTTGTGTATATAGTATGGTATTCTTTTGTCCGTTGTGGGTCTGACTTAGATTACATCACAATGACCTAGCTTCTTCCTTACTCTCCAATACTGGCGATGTAGGATGATTTTGAACTTGATGCTTCTACTTTAACACTAACTACGCTAGCCATATAAAATATAAGGTGTCCTTTGGCTCAAATCAAAAGTGGAGAAAACACATAGGAATGGGAAATTTTCCTATGGTGACACTATTCAAGCCTTTGGTTCAAAGGATTGTACCAAAGGAAAAATGGAGGAAATTTCCTTAGATGATCTAAGAAAATGCAGGAATTTTACAATTCACTTAGACCTCCTTTTCAAACTCCCACGCCTGGAAATTGAGACTGAGCTCTTTAGTGGCATAATAGCATGCCAATTATACCTTTCCAGGTGGTTTGACTTTGATTTAACCCTGTTTATTAGGATTCATATGAACCAAACACCCAAGTTTTCAAAATTCCTATGTTTTCAAAACCTTTGTTTTACACATGCATTCCTATTCCAATTCTTGTGTTTCTTGCTTTCCTCCGTTTCTGAAATCATGGGAACCAAAGGAGGGCTACATGCTCTGACAACCAAGGTCACACAACAAAGGAAAAATTATAATGTTTTAATGATGGTAAGACACAATGGGCACAACAAGGCGCGTCTTTGCTTCTACTATGCTTCAATTTGGAATAGAAAACGGAAGAGCGGTGGAGTGAAGTTTGAGCACTTTCCAATAGAAAACACATCTAAACAACATAATTCACAATACAAGATACATCTCGATAAAATACAAGATAGATGTTGCAAAACCAGTTTGTTCCTTTCTCGTGCAAGATTTCTTCTAGAGGTTTCCATATGAAGGTAAAAAGTTGGTTCTTCCCTCCTGTCTCGTATGGCTGAAGATTGGACATAACATAAGTTGGAAGGATACCATACGTGATCCATGAGGACTTGGACAGAGAAACGACAGGCGACAGACTGCAAGTTTATTCCTAAAAACGCCAGAGGGTTTTCTGCAAAAGTGCATAATAGACTAAGAATATCACCTTCTTTTTATTAGTAGATATAGAAGAGTCCTTAAAACTCTGTCTTTAGCCTTGTTCCGTTTAAAACAAGGACCATCCACACCTTTTTTAAGAAGAGAGAAGCATCCATACATGCACATATTACAGTTCTAGTTTTTATACGTTATTAGGGCATTTCCAACGCTGACCCATAAACCGGACACCGCATCCGTCCGTTGATAGGGGGACCAGTCCGCGGACATGGATGTAGGAGCCAGCCATCCAACATTGCCCGCATACATTTCAAACACTCTTTAAACGAACCGAATGGATTACATGCAAACCGAATAATTTTCATTCAAAGCGGACAAAAAAATTTACATTTTGGGCATATTTTAACTAAACTATACCGTGTTGCGGTAAAGCTAGTCTACGAGCAACCATGGCGGATCGTCACACCCACGACATGTCTTTCCTATGTCCGGGAGCCCGCTCATCAGACTGTTGGATGCCCTGGAGGGAAATGCTTCGGCGAAAGGGGAAGAATAGCTTCCCTCCACTTCCTTGAAACACGGCGACACTTGTTGTGTAACCCGGCGACGTGGTGGCGGTGGCCTTCGAGAGACTCGGGCGGCGGTGGCCTCTCATGATCTACTTTCCTCGCTGTCTGTTGTGGCCGCGGACGTGCTAGCCTCCGTCGACATGGCTTCTTTCCCCACCTACCTGACGCGTTTTCGACGGTGCTTGCGGCGGATTTTCCGGGAGAAGGCATTGTCCAGCCTGGATTTGGATGGGCAAGGAGGAGGTGGTGATGGCGATGATTGTGGCGCCGGACCGAAGGGTTTTCCGGTAAGCCAGCCTGTATCGGGTTGGCTCGTCGGGCAACCCAGGCATCTGCAATGCTGGAGAACTCCTTTTGTTCGCCGGAGGCCATGGCAGGTGTTGTACAAGGAGGGGGTGGAGAGAGCGGAGGTGAGGTGTGGTTCTTGCCTTGCTCCTAGCTGGACACCTTTATATAGTGGGTGGATGTGAGGACCCAGCTGGAGAGGTGTTTAATGCTCGCCGGCATAGGAACGGACATGTGGCGCTCGGGAAGCCGGAGCAGGTTCCTCGGCACACGCGACGATTTAATACAAGTAGGTAGGAAGATGAATGGTGTTTTAGTGAGGAGAGAAGGTGTGCACAGCGGCGATCAACAGGCGACGCTCTCGGCCGATGAGCCGCTTCAATGCCGACTCCAGTGAGCGGTCGCGTCCGCTCTTAGCCGGCATGAATGCAGGCAGTTGGTTCGGGCGGGGACACACGCGAGCGCGGGAAAGGGGGTTTTGGTGGGCCAGATTAGTCAGACACGAGCGTGGCAGTGGTCCACACGCCCGCACCACAAACACCCCTGGTTTGCCGGAAAAAGTGCTCCTGGACCATCAAACGGACATATGCAGGCCCGCCCGCATTTGATGGCAAAACACGTCTGGACCAGCGGTCGAGATGGTTGACGGGTGATTTGAGGGTCGGTGTTGGAGATGCCCTCGGATTAAGCTAGCCGCAAAGCGAAAATCATGACAACATCCACGGGCTGATCGCATGGACAAGGAGTAAAACATTATACTCCTCGGTTCCCAAATATATGACATATTAATGATTACAAATTAAATTTATTTATGTTTGATCAACTTTATTTAAAAAAATCAATATTCACAATACCTAATCAGTATCATTAGATTCATTATGAAATGCATTTATCATGTTTTGTTTATTTGATACTGCAGATATCAATAGTTTTCCTATAAACTTGAAATGTTTGACCTTAGAAAAAAGTAATGCAACTTAATACCTCTATAACTTAATATAAGATGTTTTTTGACACTATGACAGTGTCAACACGTGTTATATTAAGTTACGGAGGGAGTATGTTTTAAAACAGATGGTATAAATAAAGGGAGCCAAGAAGAATGCATAATGAAATCATTTTTATTATAATCATCATCTCATCTGATCATTTGATTAATAAACTCCAAATCCCAGAAGGTCGTCAATGTACAAGACCGAAAGAGAACACGAAAAGAAACAGAGCGCAGACACAGCTCTTCTCCAGACACGTACTAGGAGGCGCGCTCGCGGCGCGCTTATCATCACAGACGCCCCGTCATCGGAGAAGGGGGCGGCAGCCGCAGGTGGGTTCCCCTTTGATTCTTCCATCACCTCACCGGCGCTTGTGGCCGCCACCGCTGTGGCTGTGGTTGTGGTGGTGGCCGTCCCCGCGCTCCCTAGACCGCCGCGAGTGCCGCGGCTCCTCGTGCTGCCGCTCGCGCTCCCCCTCCCGCCTGGAGGACGACGGCCTCCTCTTGAAATGTTTCTCCTCCTCGCTCGACTGCTCCTCGTCGTCGTAGTCGGTAGGCGCGGATCTCCGCCTCTCCTCCTCCGCCGCCAAGACCGTCTCCTGGTGGTGATGACGACTGTCGCTCTCCTCGGCAGCTGCGGCGGCAGCTACGCTTCTCTTGGATGAAGACGACGAGGATGCAGGGCGCTTGTCGGAGGACGACCTGCGGCTGCGCTTGGGGTCGGACGTGTTAGCCTCGCCGGGGAAGCTGATGCGGGAGAAGACGCTGGCCTTGGCCTTGGACCGCTGGTCTGCTGCAGCAGCCGCCGCCTTCGCGTGCTCTGCCTCGTGCCGCGACGCAGGAGGCGGCGGAGGCGGGAGAGGCAGATCGTCGTAGTGGTCCGACGAGGAGCGCTTCTTGCCGGAGCTGGAGGAGCGGTGCGGGGAGCGACGCGAGTGCCGGTCGGGGCTGTGTGGGGGCGGCGGCAGGGCGCGCTCCGACCTGTCCGCCTGGGGCCTCGACCTCTGCACACAAGAAGAAAGGAAAAAACGGGGCCACAAGTCAGAATAATGCTAATACCTCCAGTTTCCCAGACTTGGCCTGGATTCATAACCAAGGGATCCAAATCGTACGGCCAAGAATATTCCATGCTTTGCACCGACGGCCTTTGGCCCAACCGTTGACAAGGCCTTAGCCGTCGGCCTAACTACGTAGCATATCCTGGACTGCTTGGGAACGTAATCCTAATCTTTTTGTCTCCAAAAAAAACGTAATCCTAATCTCAATTTTTTATAAAACAAGATTGTCGCTTTCATATGGCGTCGTGATCCCTTTTTACCTTTTGCACTGTACACTATCTACATCTGCATCATCAAACATGGTGATTAAGTCGAAGCAAAAAGGAAGATAGTAAAAAAAATGTTTTTCTTTTTAAGAAAACAAAACAACAACAACAAAAAGGGAAAACGAGCCAAAAATAAACAAATACCAAGGAAAAGGAAAACCGATGAAAATATATATAAACAGATATGTTTCTCCCACATATATTGATGCCATCCTGTAGCCCAAAACCGCAACGAGCACAGGACGGCAACGGGAAGGGCACTAGGAGCAGCCGGCGGAATGATAACACAACTCGGACCAGCAACTGCTGCTTGGAGCAACCCCGAGCAACTGAGCACATCGGCCTTGCCCGGATCAGCCAAGAACACCGCCCAGTCGTGCTGTTGACGAATGCAACAGGCTGCTCTTCTTGTTCGGTAGATATCAGAAACAACCGTGGAAAAGGCGTTCTTCTTCCTGTCCGGTGGTGCTGACCTCTCCACTGCTGACGCCGCCGCCCACAAGTTTACCATGGAACTGACAGTACATAACTTTGCAAGATAATAGATTGACAGGAAAAGACATACATCCTTAGGTCTCATCGATGTACTATCGTTTACGGCTCCTGATGATTCCCTTGCTTCCCTTCGATACTCCCTGCCCCGGTCTCGGTCTCGGTCTCGATCACCATCACGGTCTCGCTCCCTCTGCCTCTCCCTCTCCCGCTCCCTTTCCCTCTCGCGGGAATGTTCACGCTCCCGATCCCGCTCCCGATCCCTGCATTTGTAGACAAGCATTGAGTATTGATTAATACAGTTTAACCATTTTCAAAAAGGCTAGTGAATTAACTGAGGATGAATCTTTCAGGAATGTGGACTTTCAAGGCACAAGGAACTTGCACTTCGGGTCACAAGTGGCAGGTTTCACCACTCAAAACATAAATTTTAGTTAGCAGACTAAATGACTTTTTAAATTACACTAGGGAACGGCTCCATATAAAGGCATTTAAGGAGACGCAGTACAAAAGGAAAAACACCAAAGCATCCAGTTAACTAGATGAAGCCAACATGCTACCACATTTGTATCAAAATATAAGACGTTTTCTAGCCTACAAAAACACCTTATATTTTGATATGGAGTAGATGTATAACAGATTCTGGAGCATGCTAAATTACTTCAGGACATGGGCGCAATTAGCCCTACACGGTTCACATGCAAACTCACATGCTTTGATCAAGAGCAGAACATATATCAGAATGTCGTGTGATTGCCATTTTAAGCTGTTTCTACAGCCTCGTTCCTGATCATTAAATCTTCATTCGCTGGTCAAGATTTCATTTTCCACTAAATGATAGTACAACTATATCTCTACTCCCATAAAAGAACAAATTGGTGATGGAGACTAATCTAAGACAAGAATTTTGGGACGGAGGGAGTACAACTATATCTCTACTCCCATAAAAGAACAAATTGGTGATGGAGTGTATGACATCAGCTTGCGAGGCAAGGTGTGTTATTTCTGCAAAATGACCCCTGCCACTCTGCTTTACATTTGCAGGAACCCCTTAGTCTGTCTCCCCATCTCATCCAAACATATATGAGGAATAAATTTTGGGCAAAATCCAACATACTTTTAGTGATATACATACCAAAAATAGGGCCATTTTCTTTCAAGTTTGTAAACATGTACTCCCTCTGTTCCTAAATATAAGTCTTTTTAGAGATTCCAATATGGACTACATACGGAGCAAAATGAGTGAATCTACACTCTAAACTACGTCTATATACATCCACATCCGTATGTAGTCCATATTGGAATCTCTAGAAAGACTTATATTTAGTTACTGAGGGAGTATTACAGAATTAAACCGGCATCCCCCAACTCGACCTTTACACAAGCACAGAAATCAAACCTTCAACTCCAAAAGCAAGCATGCCACCCTTGAATTATTTAAACCGGTGCCAAAAAAAAATATCACTTCTGACTGAGACATCGTGACATGGCAAATATGTGCCGTCTAACTTTACAAGCCAATGCTGAGCTTAGTCACCAACTTCGTTGCTAATTTTTCAAGGATACAGCATGGAGAGGTGTACCAGTAACATAGAATAAGAGCCAAGCGGCTGATACAACGCCTTTCGGCATACATTTCACAACACCATGACTACAACGATAAAAACAGCTCGCCTAGTCGATCCTCAAGCCAAAAATGGCGATGAGGCAAGACACATAGATCAAGGACCACGTCTTGACCAACACCGGATACCTAAAAGCACAACCCCGACCACAACTCAGGCTGGGTCAATGCACTCTCCACCCATCATGCCTAGGAATCGACAAGTGAACAGCAGGAACCAACCGGATTCAAAGAAGGTGTCATCCAAGAGTAACCTGAGTCAGTGTAGAATGCACCCCGAGAGCCCATGCCCACAGCAGAACAACCACCGAACAACACATCGCCCCAAATCCTCGCCGAAGAGCCAACGAGGCCACCACCTCCAGTAACAACTCCGGCAGCCTCCATGGGCAGCCCAGCAGCACCTACAAGGAAAGGATGGCGCCGCAGCACCGCTGTTGCCTGGCCAGCAAGCCAGCCTAAGGTTTCCCCTGGTGCCGGAGCAGGGTTCAAACATGGCCAAGACAATGCCTCCAAGGAGGAGATGGCACCTGCGGGCGTCGTCGTCATCTGCAACCGTTGCCGCCGTACAGGGACTTCTCCCCAGCCAAGTCCAGACCACTAGAAGAACGCCGGAGTAACGCCATCCGGAGGGAAGGAAGCAAGCCGTCGACATGGAACTCACTGTGAGGAGGAGAGCTGCTTCCAGTTGCCGGCCAGGAGGGACAGCACAGCACAGGGAGTGGATCCAAAACAGCAATCACCTCAAGGTAAGCGCATCTTTGCTCTCTTTTTCTGCAGTGTCTAATGCTACTTTCTCCGGTTCACAAATATGCGATGCAATGCTTTGGACAAATCTCTAGTTAAACTTTTAAAATTCTTACTATCAAATATCATCTAAAATATTTAGATAGAAACTTGAAAAATCATACAGACAAATCTGTCTCAAAAATATTTTCTGAATACTATAATTTTATTGTATTAAACATATTGATACAAATAAACTAATAGTCAAAGTTACACTTGAAGACCACGTCAATATCCAAAGCATCACTTATTTGTGAACTGGAGGCATAACATGGGTCAAACCATGAATCCCCTTCTTTTCCTTCTGTTTGATTAATACATTTGAGGTGCTTAAATCCTGTAAAGGAACTCTTTTGAGGGTGCTTATGCTAAAAAAAGATAACATTTTATGTGCTCTAAGACTAGTTCGACAATTCAAGCCTGTAACATCAATATGTTGATTTTGCTAAGGTATTGCTTAAGGATCTATGTTCGAGCGAGGAAAAAAGCGCTAGTCATCAACTGTGCGTTTTTCCCACTGCCTAGCACCCATCTCACCTAACCACACGCCTAGGCATGCTTAAGCGCACGCTTAGCAGAATGAAACGCTATGTGTTCTGTTGTCACCACTCACTACCACCTAGATGCACTTTTTTTTCAGCATTCGAGTCTTTTACTTTGTACAGAATTTGGTATATTAAGCATCAAGGGCTCAAGGCCGCACCGCAAGACAGCACGACAAGGTACTTGCAGCAATCTGTTTTGAGGAGTTGGGTCGTGTAAATTGTGCCGCTTTGGAAGAGTACTATACTCGAGTGAGCCAAAAGCCAGGGAAGAAGTTTAGGCCATTAAAATGTTTCAACAAGGGACCTTGTTGGACCTTGCCATGCAGAATACACACTGAATAGTCATGTGCCTAGTCTACAGGAGACGTTCAACGACACGCTTGCACCTTTTATATATTTGCTTACTCAAATATGTGATGTTCATACTTGATTGCATCGACTGTGATGCAATCAACAGAAACCAGTTCGGATAAAAATAACCCCAAACGTAACTAGGGGTATGGGTATTATTTGTCCTAGTTACTCATAGTTCTAGGGTATCAGTTATGGCCAATGCACTGGATTAATCTAAAAGTACAAGGCACCTGATCCTATTGTTTCATAGAATATTGGGTGAAAACTAAACAAATGGTTTGAAGCATCTAATTTCATACAATATTGGGTGAAGACAAAGCATATAAAATCAAATAAAACAAATAATTTGAATTGCTTAATCACCTTCCGTTTAATCGATCCATTTCACGTCTCCTTCCATCTGGTTTCCTGGGCTCAAATTCGTCTCTTCTCACAACTGGTGGCCCCATGTTCATTCCCATACTGTTAACAGCTAATTCAGAAAGGTCCCTGAAAATGAATTATTCAAGAGTTTCATCATTTAACCAGTGGCCAACTGGTCATTGTAGTAAACTAGTAATAGCCAATGTGCGGAAAGATAAGGTGTATATACTCCCCAAATTTAGCCGACAATAAGTTTGATTAACAAAAAATGAGTTATACATGTCATAAAAGTCATACCATGGGATCCTCTTTCGGATCCAATAGTATAACTTTTGTGGCATTTAATTCAGATTTTGTTAGACAAATTCATGGGCAAAGTTAGGCCCAAAAATCAAGGGGGGCTTGTATATTTGTACTGAGTATATTACAGTCTGCTAGACATAATGCTCATCTCCAGCCAAATTGGAAATACAGCCACAAAATTTGCAGGCTATGCATTCCTCTGAAATTCACAGAACAATAGAACATTCATACATGTATAATTAGCCATCTACAAATTAATACACAGAACATCAAAACGATGCTAGAGGTATACCTAGGAACTGTTGGCATCATGTATGCCGGGGGCATAAATGGATCTTGTGGAAGAACTCCCCCACCAAAAGGATCAAATGGACCTGGTGGAGGATAGCCCATATAAGGCATGGGACCTGGAAATGGTGCACCCATGTAATCTATTGGCAATGGCATCCCTCCTCCCCAGTAAGGGTTAAAACCTCCTTGCGGGCCCAAAGGCATTCCAGCAAAATTTTCAGGTCCAAAATCTTGATAATTATTATTCCATTGCTCCTCGGCTGTAGGTAGAATAAGCAATGTTCGAATAAATAGGGGTAAAATGAAGTTTAACCAATAAAGGTGCAATCAAATATTCTGACAATGTTCAAGTAACATATCATGGTTGGTGATCAGAACTTACCATTCCCTGGTGCTCGCACCTTCTTCTTCTTTTTCTTCTTTACTGCTGAAGTCACCAACATAATATCATTATTTCAATGATAATAAAGAGTTTAAATATCAAACATGCACACACTAAAAAACACAAACAAGATGAACATTTGGCTAATTTGACCCAAATAAATGTTTTAGTTCAATTAAACTTGCGTGGAGGTTGCATCACAGACAAGGTTAACTAAAATGGAACAGGCCAGAATGATTATCACCTTGTTCACCTGCAGGCAATTTTTCCTGTGACTCTTTTGCGACATGAATCATTTCTGGTGTTTTTTCTTTTTTGCTGTTCTTAGAGTCCATTGTCCCTTCAGTGATATCTGGAATTGTGGTAACCTTATTATCTGAAGAACTCACATCAATGTTAGCTTTCAATCCGCTCTGGCTCTCAGCGTCTGGAGATTCCTCTACCGGCATCAGTGCTTTAGGTTCTTCTTTTGAAGCAGCAGAAACAGCAGGAGACCTAACCTTGGGTGGTACAGGTAGAGCCGACTCCATGTCTATGCAAGGTACTTCATCAGTTTCCAATTCTTATAGAGGCAGATAATCTGATATAACTGATATACATACCCTGTATTTGCACCATGCTTCCCGCGTTTTCTGTACTGCTAGTTGGTGGTGCCTCTAATATGCGACTGATGGTTTCTCTTAGAGTTTTATTGGGGAGAAGATCGTCTGCTAATATGCTTGTGGCACCACAGACACACATTGACTTGTTAATTATGTAGTCCCTAATGCCTGCCAACAAAACACAATATGTCAGCCCACTAAAGAGCATGTATGTTTGAAACTTGAAAGTGGAGATATTGAGAATAAGAAAAAAAACGCAATGCAGAAAATCCATACAGCAAAACCATATTTGTATTAAGTGACAACAGTATCAATGTCAACAATGTGAAAATAATAGATTCTTAAAACCACAACTTACATTTATCACAGAAACTCTTAAAGCAGCATTTACTAGTTAGAACGGCATCCTTCATTACTTCTTTACACAACGGGCAACGCAACTCTGGCGGGAGATCACTGAGAGATCGGGTGGTGGGTAGGCCCTCTATCTCCCTCTCAAAAGCAGCTCTGTCACAAAAAAAATATGATTAATCGTTACCTCCAAGTAGACGGAGAATTAGTGATTACGTGAGTAACTAAATAAGCAATTTGAGCTCACTCATTTGGCTTCAAAACAGCACCAGCCCCACTTGGCAGTGCATATGAGCCATCTGGAGTTGCCATTAACATGGATTTTGGGATGCCAGTTGGAGGTTTCATCCTTCTAACGTCATATCTAGTATCACCATTTGTTGGGCAATGTTGAATGAAATGACCTGTAAACCAGTATTGGTCAATGAAACAGGACAAAATATTGCATTAAGAAAGATTTGACAAGTGGCCAGCATACCTGGTACTTTACATCTATGACAAATATAGCCAGGAGGAGGTGACCTGTTATCTAGCCGACCCATCCCACGTCCTTAAGAATATCAAAGCAGATTAGTACTTATATAAACATCTAGTTTCAAATAATGATGTTAACAGGTATCCATGTTGCATAGGTACCCATGTGCACTCCCTTCATGAAGCTTGGTGCTACTAAGCTCTACATAAATCTTGCAAAAAAAATGGCAATAGAAAGGGTGGAAAGAATTACCAAAACCGCGCCCAGCCATCATTCTCCCACCCATTCCTCTGCCATAACCTCTTCCGGATCCATAGCCGTCAGGAATTTGGCTGAAAATGAGATATCCAGTCCAGTGTATGATTAGTATTATCACTCTAAGGGATAATAGAACAGTCATTCAGCCAGTCCAGCAGATCACTAACCTATAGTCAACGGCTGCTGTATCAATAAGGGCTTTTATCTTACTATCTTCGTCAATTTGATTTTCAGAAGAAGCGTCAATTGCCTGGCTAGCAGGCTGAGAGGGAACTGAATCAGAAACATATAAAGAGTTGCCGAACTCATCATCCCACTCAGATTCTTCAGGCTGCAATTTCAGTACCTTTAAACATTAGCTCCCAGGATTAATAGACTACCGTCATAGCTCAAACATCAAACTGTGATTGCAGCGGCAACTACTGTATGAGATAAAAGTAACCCAGACTAGAAGTTATTCTTACATATTTCATAGATGAATCACCAAGAAAAGCGCTGCCAGAAGGCACGATTTCTTCTACCCTATTTTCTGCAGCTATTGCCCTGCAAAAATGGTGAACCTTAAAACTATGATTGCTGATAAGGAGTAACTCCTGACATGGACCATATCCAGTGACATGAAGCAGTTAAAGTCAAACATACGAATTAGAAATCTGTTCAGATGGGCTTTGTGTGTTTGACTATTGATGATGCATCAGTAATGTGAATTATGAGGTATGATGTGGAGTAAGTGCGAAATCAAAGAGCAAAACAGTACTCTTTTGGTTCAGTAACGATTGGCATCCTTGGGCGTCCTGGTATCCGGCGAATCAACACTGAAGTGTTCTTTGGTATCATGATAGATTCATCAGCATACTCTGAAAGTACAAACATCAAAGGAATGGTTTAAGTAATACTTCGACTGTACAACAACATCCCAAGTCCCCCAAAAATCAAGATATTCCTATCATGCCCGCTAATTATATGTTCTTAAGATACAACTGTATTTCAATCTGAATGCTCCACAGTAAAATCCACTAAAAAAAAGGGCAACCTGGTGCATGTAGCTCCCGCTTGCGCAGGGTCCAGGGAAGGGTCCGACCACTTTGGGTCTATAGTACGCAGCCTTTCCCTACATTTCTGTAAGAGGCTATTTCCAGGACTTGAACCCATGACCTCATGGTCACAAGGCAGCAGCTTTACCACTGCACCAAGGCTCCCCTTCTCCACAGTAAAATCCACTAATCCAGAATATTTGTTCAGTGAGGTAAGCAAACAACACAATGGCTTCATTGAAACACACTTACTAGTCTTCGATGCAATGCGCAGTAGATGTGCTCAGCATCACAAAAGACATTCAAGTTGCTAACCATTGCAAACAAAGATCATGTCAAATTGTCAAAATATTGCAATTTTATGTCTAAACCCAGCTAACAGTTAATCCTACACACCAAACCAGTAGACCAAGTCGTCATGTCTTAGAAAGCATAGATCATAAGAAAAAAATGAGGCAGGCAACAAATGATACCAGCTAAATAAGGCCTCAATTTTCAGAAATCTTGCGTGCATGAATCAAACAGCCAAAATGGCTCACCATACACAGCAAACAGCATTACAACCTGAGCCTATCACAATATTATCTACCACTAACATCTTGCATACATTCACCCACACAAGAAATCAAGCAAAGGTTCTTCTCTGAGAAAGAACCAATATTATCTAGCTAGCACTAGCATCTCGTATACATTCACCCACACAAGAAATGAAACAACGGTTCTTTGCTGAGAAAGAACCAACCTTCATCAGTCTGGGCATTCGAGATCATGAGGTCGAAATCAGTGCCTCTGCCAAGGTGCTTGGACTCAAAAATCATCTCCTTGAGGTTGAGAACCGAGATGAACTGCCCCTCGATAGGGATCGAGTCATAGTCTCTGGCACTCTTGAACTTATAGTAGACAGCCATGATAGCGCTGGATCTAGATGGTGTGCCGGGTGTGCAGCAGCACACCCAATTTGCGCGGCACGCCCAAAATTTGTGGAGATCGGTGGGGTTTATCTAATCACTCGGCGCCATAAAGCTCACAGACCGCCAGGATGGCGGGCGGGGTTGAGATAGCGGCGACGCGATGAGGCGGAACGGGAACGGCGACGGCGGCGACGCGCGTGCCAGGTCGGACGGGTTGGGGGGTCAGGCGTCGGCGGTGACCTAAGCTACGGCACGGCGGCGGCTGTAGGGCACGGCAGACTGTAGGAGATGTTCTAGAGCCGCATCGGGTCGGATTGGAGCTTGCTTGGGTAGGTCAGGACTCGGGAGAGGAAGAGGATGACTGGGAGGGGAAAGAAGGGTACAGGTACGGGACGGTGGAGAGTGGAAACCGTGGAGGGAGGGGATGGATCTCACCCCTCTGGCCTGGGGTCGACGGCAGATATTTGGTTCAAAAGGAGAATACACTGAGAGTAGTACTCTCTTCGTTTCCATTTATTTCCGGAGTAAATAGCATAAAGCTACTACTTTATGAGTTAGGGTCTAAAAAACTATCGGATTTATTTATTCACTGATAGCTATCAAGTCAAGGGTTGGCTGTTTCAAAAAATCCCAAATCCTCTTTATTAAAAAATAAACATGTTTATGACAGGTCGGGCCCGCCACTAAACGCACCGTTTGGTTGACCGTTTGTTTGACCGTTAACTCACATGTAGGAGGCACATGCCAGTGCCTGAAAAAGCAATCGGATCCCTAGAAATTTTCTAAAAAAGCAATCAGGTCTATGGAAGTTTTCAAAAAAAAAAAAGCAATCATCCTCTGGCGCACCCGCCATGGCCGCGATGCCACCTCCTCTGGGCTGATGATGTGCACCGCCTGCAGCCGGCGAGCCGCGCCCGCAGTGGCCGGATCCACGCCGCCATGCCGCCCCTCGCGTGTGGCCGCCACCACGCGCGCCCTCGCCTGTGGTCGCCGCCACGCTCTGCCTCGCCCGCGGCGACCCCCAGGTGGCTCCCCATGGCGGGCGGCAGCGCGGGACCCGAGCGGAGACCCACGGCAGGCGGCGCCCCAGGCGGTTCCCGATGGCGTGTGACGCTGCGGCGACCCGAGCCAGAGCCCCATGGCTGGCGCCTCCCCATGGCGCGCAACGGTGTGGCAACCTGAGCCGGAGCCCCACGGCGGCGCGCGCGGCAACGACCCCCTCCGCGGACGAGGCCGTTCAGGCATGTGAGCCCCCTGTCACCAGGAGCTCCACGCGAGCTCCTACCAGCAGCGGCGGCGGAGGGGGAGGGAGGGGCGACGTGGCGTAGGGCGGCAGCCGGACATGGCATAGGACGGCGGCCATGGCGATTCTCCGGTGTTCTTCGCGAGCAGGGGGAGTGGAGAAGAAGAAGGGAGGCAGAAGGAGGAGAAGAAGATTGACTAGATGAGAAGAGACACTGACATGTGGGCCCTATATGTCAGTTAACGGTCAAACTAGAGCTTTGTTTAGGTGCGGGTCCGACCTGTCATAATCACGATCAATAGATAAGCACTCGGCAATTTGGGTTTTTTGAAACAGCCGACCTCTGATTTGATAGTTATCTGAGAAAAAATAAAAACCGATAGTTTTTTGTAACCCTAGCCTGTAAAGTGTAGTTTTATGCTATTTACTCTTATTCCCCGTATAATATATTTTTAAATCAAACTATGCAAAGTTTGATTAAATTGATGTTAAAAAGTATCAATATCTACAATACTGAAGATATGTACTATAAAAATTATTTCCATGATGCATCTAATGATATTGATTTCGTAGTGTGAATACTGATATTTTTTCCTATAAAGTTAGTCAAACTTTACGAAGTTTGACCTGAGAAAAATTTTATATGCAAGCTAAAAAGAAACTGAGGGAGTTTTATTAGGATGACTTTTTCAGTCTATTTTAGTAGAAATGCACAAAACACTCCTAAGAAAAAAGTGATTTGTGATATTCACCAAAAGGTAGGTCGCAATAGCAACGAGGTGAAATGGATAGCCCTGTTTGCAGAAAAGGGGCAGAAAGAAAACAATTACTGGCCAATAACAGTTGATGACACATAAAATGACAAAAAAAAGTATATACCTTGTCCTAAGGGAAGATAACAGCATGGTTGTTTATCTAAAATAGTGTGAGGACAAGATTGCAATATGGAAAGTACGTCGGACGAGCTACGTTTTGGGCAAAGAACTAGGGAAGATCCACATGCAAGATTTTCCACATACAACGACGTGGGAAGATGGGCAGTGGAGTAAGGCCGGAGGGGAGGAAGTTGTACCTGGGGGTCGTCGGGATGTAACTAGGAGGGCGGCGGTGGGCGGGATCTACCCATAATGCGGCAGCGAGCAAGTGGTGAAGGCCCTACCGGATCGGAGCTTGGTCAGAGAAAACTTGGGTACCGCAGATCGAGACATGCTGCCTTGACGCAGTCGAACGAAGAAACGATGCACATCCTCTTTTTTCACCGGCGGACGGGATGCGGCTGGATCAGTGACCAACGGTGAGAGAGAGGGGCCATCGCCGCCTTGTGTGAGATAATGTGACGAGAGACAAACCCCGACAGGCAGGCTCCATTGTATATAGTGGAGCGGATTTATTTTTTCTCGATAACAATCGTTTTATATTCTTTACGTGCCATTGAGGAATATAAATTTACTAAAACTAACGCGTCAAGTCGAACTTTGTTCCGTGCATGCGTGGTACACGACCCTCCTTCAAGTAAACAACTGCTACATGCATCAATTATTACGCGGGCTGCCTTTTTGTACACAAATGAGCTCCACCGTGTACCCGCGCGGGTGTGGTTGGGAATGAGACATGAGTATGTGTGTCGTGCGTGCACCTTTCTCTATGTGCAGGTACCCCACGTACGTGGGTGTGGGTGTGAGAGAGATGGGTTTTTTTACTCAAAAAAAGATGGTTTGTGCAAAACAGAGGCAATGTGTCGATGATATCTCAAATAAAAAAATGTAACATATACAATGTGTGTGAAACAGAGTCCCGGATATATCATATATAAAGGGAGCGATCCCCGAGAAGAGAGTGGAGGGACCATCGGTGTGAGATGTCAATAGAGTCAAATAGAGGGGTGAAGTGTGTGGGTGCGCGATCGTTAAAGAGTGCAATCGAATTTGTGTTCGCCCACGTCAAAGATATAGGGCGGCTGGCCTACTCGAATGTGAGAGGGGAGAGGTGCATTTTGTCTCTGTGGCATGGATACCTATCTACAGCGTTCGACTATCGGTGTGTGCGTGGGGGGCGCAGAGACCTAACTATAGAGGTAGATCGACTAGTATATGTGTGGAGAAGGAGAGAGACCTAGCTGTGTATTAAGGGAGATCGATCGACATCTATGCATATGTGTAGGAGAGTGTGACGCCCCGATTTGACCGTACACTAATCATACATGCAAATATGTACGGTCAAGATCAAGGACTCATGGGAAGATACCACAACACAACTCTAGACACAAATTAAAGATCATACAACCTTCATATTACAAGCCAGAGGCCTCAAGGGCTCGAATACATAAGCTCAATCATAAACAAGTCAACGGAAGCAACAATATCTGAGTACATGCATAAGTTAAACAAAGTGCCATAAGATGGCTAGCACAAAAGTAGCAACGATCGAAAAGGCAAGACCTCCTTCCTGGGACCTCCTAACAACTCTTCGAAGTCGAACTCCACGTAGAATCATCCTCGGGATTCTCTGGCTCCTGGACTCCATCATATGATCGCAGTAACCGGAAAAGGGGAAAAGAAGTAGCAAAGCAATCGTGAGTATTCATCCAAAGTACTCACAGGTAAGGATATACACTACATATGCATTAGTATCAATGAAAAGGTAATATCTTTGGACTGAACTACAGCATGCCAGAATAAGAAGGGGATAGATAGTCCTATCAAAGACTACGCTTCTGGCGGCCTCCATCTCGAAGCATATAGAAGAGAGTGGCTGGTAAGTTCACCAAGTATCATCGTATAGCATAATCCTACCCGGCGATCCTCTCCTCGTCGCCCTGTGAGAGAGCGATCACCGAATTGTATCTGGCACTTGAAAGGGTGTGTTTTATTAAGTATCCAGTTCTAGTTGTCATAAGGTCAGAATACAACTCCGGGGCGTCCTTTTACCGAGGGACACGACTATTCGAATAAATAAACTTCCCTGCAGGGGTGCACCACATTACCCAACACGCTCGATCCCTCTGGCCGGGCACACTTTCCTGGGTCATGTCCGGCCTCGAAAGATCAACACGACGCAGCCCTACCTAGGTTCAATGATGTCGCTTGAAGCTACGTTGGTATTTCCCCAAAGAGGAAGGGATGATGCAGCACAGCGGCGGTAGGTATTTCCCTCAGATATGAAACCAAGGTTATCAAACCAGTAGGAGAACCAAGTAACACAACGTAAACAGCCCTTGCACACAAATAACAAATACTTGCAACCCAATGTGTTAAAGGGGTTGTCAATCCCTTTCGGGTAACGATGCCAGAAATTGGTGCGATGACAGGAGAAAGTTGTAAATATTGATAGATCGAACGCCAAATAAAATAAATTGCAGCAATGTATTTTTGTATTTTTGGTTTAGTAGATCTAAAAATAAAAGGCAAATAAAAGTAGATCGTGAAGACAAATAATATGAGAAAGAGACCCGGGGCCGTAGGTTTCACTAGTGCCTTCTCTCGAGAAAAATAGCAAACGGTGGGTAAACAAATTACTGTTGAGCAATTGATAGAACTTCAAATAATCATGACGATATCCAGTCAATGATCATTACATAGGCATCACGTCCAAAATTAGTAGACCGACTCCTGCCTGCATCTACTACTATTACTCCACACATCGACCGCTATCCAGCATGCATCTAGTGTATTAAGTCCGCTGAGAAATGGAGTAATACAATAAGAACAATGACATGATGTAGAGAAGATCTATCTATGTAGAGATAGACCCCATC